ATCTTTCCAATTCTCTCACTGAACCACTCAGAACTTCTTTATTTTGACACAATTGCATTGAGTCACGAATGGAAACACAACTCTTATCTACAGAAAAACTTTGTTTGTCTTGGACAGATTTAAGTCTTAATATTTCAGATACAACTTTGATGAAGCTAAGTAATCACACAGCTTGGTTACTCGTTCATTATCAACTGACGTCTCTCCGTTCGGTCTTCAATTGTAACCACAGCTCACCTCCACTGGCGAGTTACGTTTTCTCCCTCCCCTTTTGTCTCGCTGCAGAAGATGCTTTTCAAACACAATTTCTTGAAGTGGAATTCTTTTCATGAGCTCTTTCTCTCGATCTTGCGATGCTCTTATAAACCACCTGTGTGCAGCTGATTGCCTTGGTAAGCTCAAAACCACATGACATAGCGGCTTCCACCAGTTTGAACGCAAAAGCAGCAACATGCTTGCAAAATCCTCGTTTCCCAGCAGCCTACCAGTGGTCTATTGCAGCCAGCCTTTTTCAAGATGTCTTATCGAAAATGATTGAACACGCATAAAGCCCCTCACCAGATCAAACACTTTTACCTTGTTTCGTAGCGGGCCGTGTGTAGCCTTCAATAACAAACATATGTTGTTGTGGTTGAGCAAAAGGTTCACTCGCATGGTTTTCCTAAACGTTTCAACCTTTTTTGTCTTCAAGAAAGCCTAAACTTCCTTTACATACTTTTCATCGGGAGTAAGCTCGAAATACTTCTCCAAAACCGAGTGGGAGATCGTCTCAATGCCTGCCAGCGAAGACGTCCAGCCGTTCTAAAGAATATCATAACCGAGTGTTTCTCTCCTCTTTTCCTCGCACAATTGCCAGTCTGGGTTATTAAGAAATTTATCATCCAAGGCCATTTTCAATATATAACTGGAATCTAGTAAGGCACAAAAAACCAACTTTGAGACAATGTATCTAATTAACAAACAATTAAAAGATCGACTCAGACATCTCGAAACAGCACTCGCGCGATCTACGACTTACTTGCGTCAAAACTCTTTAAAATTGAGTTGACTTAAATTTTGACATTCTAGACACTTTAACCATCTTATGGCTTCAGATTTGGTGAGCTTTCCGATTTCTTTTTTTAACTTGGCCTCTATAATTTCGTCTTCAGAGAGACGGACGTCTGACACAAAAGCCGCCATCTTGTCTGTTTACGTATGTTAATTTCTTACATGAACCTACAATGCACTGCGTGATGCCATCTTTTTTGCTTGCGGAGCGGATTGGCGCTTCGTTACTATTCAAAGACTGCAAAGAAACAATTTCCTAACTTCAATGTAAGCTTAATTTTCCATTGTTTTGTCACCTGTATGCACTGTTTGTGCCCAAGTTCCTGTGTTGTTTTTTATTAAGTTGAATCGGACTGAATGAGCTAACAACTGACCCTGAACTTAATTCACAGATCGTAGTCGATTCAGTGTCGGATATCAAGAAAACCAAGTTTCATCTTTTTTCACGGCTGTAGTTGAAAGGTAAG